AAATATAGAATTATTGTGGCCCTTATGGTAAGTGCGGTAGTTGGCAGTACGGCAAATGGGTAGAAAATGTAGGATGGCGCCCCAGCTTGCAGAAAGCTGATAAGATATCTAATCTATAAATCTTTTAGCTTGAACTGAGTTTAGTTTTCCGGCAAGCAACTGAAGTTTTATGGATTCTTTATATTTATCTCTTTTTGCTTTGCTGCTCAAATAAGTTAAAAAAAAAAGATTTCCTGCTATGTTAAAACACATTTTCTACTTTCTTTCCACGTGGCACTTTCTCTTCTTTTTTCCAGGTGTGTTACCGTGCGTTAGGTTGGCGCACCAAGCCATTTTCGCCTCACTGCGCCAAATCTTGAAAATTATCTGAGTTTTTGCCTATTTAGGACAGATTCCCGATTCAGCTAAATTTTCAATAACGGGAGCGTGATTATCATGGTAATTGTTCTTACTTTGTTGAATTCCTTCTTTCACCAGTTTCCTGTGTTTCTCCACTCTGGCCTCCTTTGTATTATCTAGTTTGACAGCTCGTTCATATTTGGATGGATTTTTAATTTTTATTTCGATTTTTCTATCGAATCTTTTAGGATGCCGTTCAGATTTTACTCCAAGCTTTTCCGAAGCCACTGATTTATCAGTTCTGGTTGATAGCTTTGTCCTCGATTGTCTTGTTCTCTGCCTTTTATTTGCTCTCTACTTTCATTATTTTTGCTTTTCTTTCAGTCTTTTGTGTTATTCGCTTTTTGCTGGAGTCAAATACTACAATTGGCTAATTTATCTGTGACTGATCTCTTCACCCTGCTTTGAGGGCGGGTAACTTTCGCATATTCTCCCACTAAATTATTTGCCTTTTAAAACGTCTTAATTTTCGTCAACCGAGTCTTTTTCGGAAAATAAATCCGAATGAGCATCCAGCGCAAGGCATCATCTTGAAGAAGAATGTCTTCATTTAAGGGTTCAACTTCCATCAACTCTTTCACGACTTTAGACTTTTTCGTCGTGATCACATGCTCTACTACTGGTTCCTGGGTGGAACAGGATCTAGTGGCTTTACATTTTTTTGAGGACTAAGTGACAAAATCAATATAAATAAAATATAAGTACTTTCTCGGTCTAGCAGAAAATTATTTTTTCATCTGTAGCAACAATAGCTATGGAAAAGTGCAAGCCAAAGCCACCACTGTAAAAACTAGTATTTGAACACAGTCAATTTGCCTCAACCAATGAAACGTTAATAACGTTAGTAATAACACAAATCTATTTTTTAAATCGGAAACTTACTTCAAATTATTTCATCGTAACTCATCATTACTCAATCGTAAATAGTAACTTAAATTAGCACTGAAATGAAACATTTTGATAGATAGTGATTGTGATGAAACAGTGATTAGAAAGTGAGATTGCTAAAAATAAACATCGTTTCCAGCTACGAAGTGTCTGAAAATAAATGGCCTTGTTAATAGACAAAGCTCTGATAATCGTTGGATGAAAAGCTAAGATAAATGTGCGAACATTTCACTCAGATGTCCCTAATGTTTCATGTGCGAACTGATATTGCTGATTGCTTAATAAATAATTCACGGCCGGCTACTAAAACTGACAACAACATTTTCAAAAGCTTCCATTGCTGCTGATGGTCAAGTGTTGAAAATTCTTGATTTCATCTTTATTGGCCAACATGTCTTGGCCGTTTTCAAACAAAACGTACAATTGAAAAATAATGAGGCTACTTTTCGTGGAAAAGCCATGTACAATTTCGTGACCAGCCGAATATCGTGCACAATAACCACTTCCCTCAAGCAAAATACTGCATTTTGTGAGCACAAATTATTCATGATTTTAATCTGAATAAACGTTGTCGCGTGGCAAACACGGTTTTTTCACGGTGCTGTAGACAAAACGCCTCGCCCTCAATTTGGCCTAATGATATGCACATCAGTCTCACATACTATCCAACGGAAGTGGATTAACAATAGCTGAAAAATAATTTATGCACAATTTACCGTTAGTCCGGAAAAAATGGTCTAGCCCGTTTTCACTGGCCCTACTTGTGGCGGAAAAGGGAAATGGCCGGTGACGAGTTAAATGAGTTATTGACATAGGGAACTTACAGGATTCGAGCGAACTTCCGCTAAGCAAGCTTCGCTATTAATCTAGACATTTTACACACGAAAAATAAACCATTCCTAACCAAGCGTAGAAATCGTGAGTTTATTCTAGTTCCTAAATGAAATTAGTCGCTGTCCTACAAACGTCTAAAGTGGATGATTGATTGGACATCGAATTCGTCACGCATCTAATGAAATGTTGATGTCCGGCATAAAAATTGCAAACCTAATTTGGACGTCATGAACTTTTCGAAACTTTCAGCTGCGGCTTGACGCGGCAAATTATTATTTTCATTTTAGTAGCATCAATTAACAAAATCAAACATCGGCGGATAATCATAATAATAATAATAGCCTCACTTTAATCTGTAGTAAATATTTACTTTTATTTGTTTTTGTTTTCCTAAAATTACCTAGCCACATTGTCCTGGGTCAACATTGCTGTTGACTCAACGACCTACACGAATATAAACTGCTAAATCTACAATTTTACCACCCGGGTTCCGGACACTCTCTATACTATCAAAATAGCTCTTTTCTTCAACGAAGAATTTTGAAATTGATTATACTGTAATGAAGCTCAATGCATGAAAATCGACAAGCATCGTAACATAAAAAGTGTGCAGTGAACTTTGAAACACCGTGGTTGAGTAAATGCATGTGAAAGACCGATTTCAACAACACAACGATTGTAATTCGGCGTTAAATGATGAGGGTACTAAATTCCCATTAAAGTAATTGCTGGTAAGTGGAGTATGACAAGAAGTGAATTTACATAGCACCCAAATTGTATTTGTCAATCGACAAAGGAATTTCGTCCACGCCTTCCAGAAGGGTTTGCATCAATTTTCCCATTATTTCGAAATTTTTCTCGGCACAATGCTGTTTTTAATTCGATTCATTCATTCATTCGAATTGAAAAGGCGGTCACGGACACAAAAATAACCACATTTATCTTATGGCATCGCGGTTACTCATCAATTGCGTCACCTTTGAATAAATAACAATTAAAAAATTAATGGGACGTTACTTAATTGTTTTGCTTTATAAGTTTACAACTTCATCCGCCTTTGTTCGTAAATTCGTTCTGTTTTTTTCTACAACTTGCAAATGTTGGAAATTGGGTTAAAATGTCCGGATGTACTTAAATTAATCTACTGGAAAGGGCCATTCAGTTTTTTAAACAAACTGCTGAAAAGGTTGACGGATCTACAGAGTGAACAATACACAACTACAGAACAATCTACAGAGTGAACGTAAAATATGGAAGACGTTAAGTAAAAGCAATGCATACAAATGAAAGAAAATAACTGATTGGACACGAGAGTGCAACTTAATTTTTAATGTGCTCTTTTTGACATAAAAGTACTGTTCAGGGAGTGATTTGATACTTAGTCATACTTTTATACACGGACATTTGAAAAATCGAGTAATTCTACATAAAGGACGATTTGGTTGAATTGTTTTTAAATGATAATTTGCTTGACTTTTTTTATGTTTTTTTTTAATTCAGAGATCGATGAGGTTTTGAAGCGAAGTAAACGCAAAAAGACACCAGAAAATGTCCTTTTGAAATATAGACTTTGGTGGTTTCTTAATATTATTGCCCACACATTCATTTTCCTAGCACTCTAAACTCTTGAACAATATGTGGATTAATATTCGATTACTATCGTACATTTTGTCTGTTAAGAGTTCCTTGTTCGGTCAAAGTTTTGAAAAGTCTTCAAATGGGTCGAAATCTATTTCTCAGCCAATCAGCACGGTGCATGCACGAGGCAAATGAATTTTGCGACTGCTTGATATAGAATTGTATCCCACAATTGACAACAATACAATTAATAATTTTTCAACTCCGACTAAACTAATTCAGATCGCCGCTCTAATTGCTAAGCTGTAAACAAACCAATTAGTTCATGGCAGAGAACTCAATTAATTCCCGTTTTATTATAATTTTTTTATCTTTGTTGAAATTTTAATCTTCCTATTTCTCCGACTACAAATGGTCTGTGTTATTAGCAAAAAGAACCACATATGACTCCGACAAACAAAACGACCTTTACGCGCTTAACTTTGACATTAAAAACATATTACCCGTGAACAATTACTCCGCAATGTATTTATTGCAAATAAGGCGGTTTGCCATTACTTTTGATTGAAAGGAATTTATTATTCGACGTGTTTGGTGCAATTGGAAAATGGGTTTTGTAAATAATAAGCAATCTTTTGTTTGTAGATTGCACATTTATCTGAAAGATTTAATATTTGTTTTGCAAACCGATCGATTATATTGCATTTGTACTGGCGAAGCTTCTGTGTGAAGCTACCAAATCCCATTCATTTTCCAGTCTAAGTGCGTTGTGAATATTTTTTCCACAACCGGAAATTTTATATGATAAAAACTCACTTTGCTGGAGAAGATCAATTGAATGCTTATATTTACCAGCAGCAGAGCTGAAGTTCGAAAAATCCTCTCGATTCTTTGAATCGCTTATACCCTTAGTCTTTAAAATCTGTTTTCGATTAAAAATGTTTTTTCCTAAAAGTACGTTTAACACAGAACGGTAGCAGCAGTAGTGTGGAAGAAAGAACCCCCCAATATCGCTCAAGAAATGCGGTTTCTACACAAAACAACTCGCTAATCTTGTGTGTTTTGAATATTTTCCATAATCCTATATTTTATTGATGGAAACTCTCGTTGCTGAAGATAATCAATCAAATACATACACATGCCATTAGCTGAACAAAACATTTCAAAACCGCACGAAATTAGTCATGGAATGGTTCGAAGAATCCTCTCGGTTCTTCGAATGTCTCATTGCCTTAATCTTCAAAGGCTGTTCTCGATGAAAAATGCGTTTCTTTAAAGGTACCCATAAACAAAGCACTGTAGCAGCAGCATTAAAGAAGACAGAGCCGCCAAGTATCACTCAAGAAATTCGGTTTCTTGAGTGATAAAACGACTAGATAATCTTGTGTTTACTGTAAGATGACTCAGAAATGGAACATTACATTGTGTCCTCACCTATCATGATAACTTATGAGATTTTCAGATTATCAGCACAATTTGCAGCAAAATTGGCCAGTTTATTTGCTAAACTTTATCAAACACACTAATTTTTATTAGATAATTGCTCCTTCTGCTCCATTATACAATATTCCACATTGTTAAATTACTGACAAACCTTCATTAATCTTAACTAAAGTTCATTTCCCACTATGCAGTAAATTAATTACACTAATTAGCGAAATGTAGCTCGACATCGTCCATTAAAGGCTTCTATCAATTAAACAATTAAACCTCTCAATTATTGATTTCTTGTGGGTGTGTGAAGACACTGAGTTGATTATTTTCATAATGGATCCTGTGTCTTGACCTGCAGGCGCAATAGATAAGCAATTGATTGATTCAGTGGTGGCTCACTTTCAACCGGGAGCTTTTTCAGTCACTGTTTCCCTTTTAGTATTTTTTTTGATTTATCACAATTCGTAGTTTTTTCACACTCTTAGTAGGTAAATCTAAACAATATTGAGCTCAAAGTGATCAGAATGGAGTAGTTAATAGCTCTGGATTCTTTGGCGGCCGAAACCCTGAAGTCCAACGGGATGGCGTTGTTATCGGCAGCAATTTGCACTGTAGCTATCATGTCTTCATTTAGTTCTGGGAATAATATAAAGTTTTTCTTCGTAAAGAATCAGGAAAAACGTTGATCTCATACCTGCTCCAGCTGTAGGAAATCTTAAAATAGGCGACGGTTTGGACCAGCCGTATCTATTCCTTGACACCAAAAGCACCTCATAAACCGTTTTCTCCTTCAGTCCTCTCAACGTATAACTTTTGGAATACACTGGACCCGAACTGTATTCCGCAGGGATCGTCAACTTGGTCCATTGAGGTCGAAACAACCCTTTTCCCGTTTTATACGGTCTGAACCACAAGGAGTATTCAATGATCAGAGTGTAGCTGTCCACCTCCCAAATTAACGTGTAGCTGTCTTTCTGAGGAATTATGTCGTTTTCCTGGGTTTTCTTGAAAACACCTGGATTTGGAACTCCTGAAAATTCAATAAGAAATGGTTCGAAGTTGAGTTGGGAAGAAACCCTACCGGACAGCTGAATTTGAATTTCGCCCTGGCCCAATTCGTTGATCGCTCGACAAGTGTAGATTCCAAAATCGCTTCTTTGCACTTTGCGAATTATCAATGTATGCTTGTCTCCGTCCACAATTGAGACCACTCGGGTCATGTCGATTGGAACCACAATTTCCCCTTTCAGCCACGCCACGGTTGCCTGCAATATTATGAAAATTTGGTGTATTTCGTACAAAATTCTTGAAAACTCCCCGAGACTCCAAACTAACCCAAACTAAAAGCCCAAAGAACTAAAAAATCACAAAAAAGCAAGAAAATGACCCATTTTAAAGAATAAAGGAGGAACATTCATAGATAATCTAAACTTTCGTGGGTTTCACTTAGGATCTTCTTTGTCTAACTATTAAATTGATATCCTACATGTGGATCTGCCGATACACGACATTCCAACTGTGCTCGATGTTCCGGAGCTGTGTGTATCCATGAACGAGATGTCATGATTTCAGGAGGATCTGCAAAAAGTCTCAATCCTTAACCGATCAATTCTCTAGTGAAAATATAAAACTTACAAATTATGCTCAGTTCAATTTGTGCCTTCGCCGGCTCTCCAACACCATTCGCCGCTCTGCATTCGTATACCCCAGCCAGGTAGCGATCAGAAGCTGTAAACACCAGAAGATCGCGATGGTCCAACAATTTCAATTCCTCACCCTGTAAAACATGCTGTATTTACCCACAAATTAACCAAACTAACACGAGTACCTTGCTAATCCAGGTGATTATTGGATATGGAACCCCGCTGCCTTTGCAGGAGATTCGCACTTCTTCTCCGAGTTTCACCTGAAGGAAGCCGGTGAGTGGAAAAGGTTCCACAGAAGGCGGATCTGGAAAATTTTTATTGAAGTTTTCCTGCTGTTATCATACTCGGTGCTTACGTAAAACTTCAATTGCATGCTTCTGCCGAACCACTCCCCAAGGTTCCGGTCGAGATATTTCGCAAATGTAATGTCCAGTGTCTTCGGGCTGCACGTGGAGAATTTCCAAAGAACCATTCTGCCATAAAGTGTGACGGGAGGGTAGAGCTACGGATTCATTTGCGCTGTCTCCCAAAAGATCGTCATTTTTAAACCACTTCACTGATGTAGCATAAGCACCATCTGGAACAGTGTTAGAAAAAAGTGAAAACCACTGAAAGTTTCTTCGCAAATTTCTCATTTTCTTCTTCGCCCAGTTGGGGGTGTAAAAATACCCTCAAACACTAACTTTGTTCTTCGAACTTACCATTTGACACAGTATTTAAGTAGCACGGTAACAGCACTGTATTGTTTTCCCTCGCTTTCACGGTAGTTGGAGGGCTGAGAAACTCATTACTTGTTACACTCCAAACACTAAATGCCAATCCCCACCACACTATTGGAGTGTTTCTTCTTAATTTTGAGCACATTTTGAAAATTTACGCCAACTACACCTACAAATCCTTGCCCATGATTTGCCTTCTTTAAAGTTTATTAATTGGCTTCACTATAGACTATCGACTTTCTTCATTATCAGCAAATCTTCCCAAGATAATAACCGGCCATTCCAGAGAATGGGCTCAACACTAGAACGCACCTAAGACAGATTTCAAATGATTAAGTTTCATTATCAAATCGGCGGACGTTCACAGTTAATTGTGAAAAGGCACAGAGGCAATTTAACGTTGAAAAGTGACTGCAGCAGAGCTTAAAGTAACTAAGCTGTTGTGTCTCAATTAAGACCCCATTGACCGCACGTATTATTTGATTACTCGATTTATGTAACACTGCGGCCCCTATTGTACTTTGGTTTTGTAGTGGACATTAGGAAAAATCGGGTTTATTAGATTAATTGGGATTTTTTTTCTTGCGAAGAACCACAGGATAAATTCATGTGCTATTCGAAATGATCACCCGATAGATAATGAAGCATTGTTAATGTTTTGAAGACTAGTTCCATAAATATATACATCGTTGGTTATAAAAAAGTTTTTCATATATCCAACAAGGGCGGATCCAGGGGGGAGGGGGTCATAGGGGTCATAGGGGTCATGACCCCCCCCCATTCAATTCTCTATCCAACGATGCCAAAACGAATTATCTGGCTCGAATGGTTTTTGAGAATCTTCGAAAAAAGCAGCGTCATGTTCAAGTGGATTTTGAAAGTCAAAGAAAAACTGCTAACATTTTCCCATCCATGGTTCACTTTCTGAAAAGGCCATTTATCTCTGTCTAGAATGATGTACAAATGAGCGTTCTTGCTCATTTTGCCTCCGAGAAATGAGCAAAAATGGAACGGAAAACATGGAATTTTGGCATAATCTTGCACCGAAGTGTCTGATATTCAAATTTCGCTTTCTGTGTCAAAACTACTCGAACTTCCTCACTTACGTTGTTACGACTGAATCGACTTTTCAATTCTCTATCCAACGATGCCAAAACGAATTATGTGGCTCAAATGGTTCTTGAGAAACTTCGAAAAAA